TTCCTTAGGATAAAAATTAATGGTGACGATACTATATTTTTTGTCAATTATTACAAGAGCATCAATAATAATAAATAAGAAATATAACAATGTACAAATATTATATCATAATTTATTTATTTATTTAAATACCAATAGGGTATTCGAATCATAATTTACAAAATTATAAATCACAAGTACATCAAACATTAATAAATTATATTAACAATAATACACCGATAGAGTATAATTATAATCAATATAATATTTATTATAGTTACAATCAATTTAATTATTTTACTAAAAAAAATTTATACAATTGTACCCACGATAAGTGAGTTACAATCATACAAATTAAAATAATTATATTTTATTCAAAATAGAAAAATTTATATAATTGTATTCACGATATGTGAGATTACAATTATAAAAACTAATAGTGGTTACTTAATTATCCAAAATATAACTCTCAAATAATAAGATTTCTAATATACTCGTAAGACAAGATTTTTATTTATATATTTATTTAGTGAAAATAATTAGAGAGTTTTAATTTCAAAATATTCTGAAAAATAACAATATTTATATAATTGCACATTTTATAATTTTCAAAGGAGTATAAAATAGTATAAAAAGATTTCTCCTTATTTGCAATTATATAATATGTCACAAGATATTTAAAATAATAATCGAATTACGACTAATCTCAAAAATCTTTAAAAAAATCATGTCATTCATCTTTGTACGAAAAACCATTAAACTTTGATGATTTGTAAGATTTGGTGAGACGTCCATCAGTAAAATAAATATTGCAATGTCGTCTCAAAAATAATTCATGATCAAAGAATAAATCGTTATACTATATTATAAAATTAACTATAATTTCAAATATATAAAGATTTCATAAAATAAATTCAAATCCAAAAAAGTTACGAAACATAATTTTTGGAATCAAACAAGTATACTTTAATTATCTATATATAGAAACTTTGAACGTTTTATTCATAAACAAAGTTTTAAATTAGTTAATAATACAATAATATTTATTTTTTAATGATATAAAATAAAAAAAAATTATTTTTATTTTATTATTTTTTATTATTTTTAATATAATATGTCAGGAAACAGTGAGGATCATTCGCACACAATTTTAAGAAATTTACAATCATACTAATATAAAATATGATATTATATAATCTTTCTCAATTGTCAAAATCATTAAACCTGTTAATTGACGCAACTCAATTTTCTTATACAAGTTGCGTTTCAATTGGATCAATTAATTGGATCTAATTATCTATGGAAGTGCATGAACAATTTTGAAATAGTTTTCGTTAATAATTTAAAGGTTAGAAAAAATCCTATATAAAGAATAGTCAATTTGATTAAGGTAAATTTTAGATTGAAAAAGCATCTATTTTATATTATGCAGGTAACCTAACAATATGATTTCATCTAGATTCTTATCACAATTCATAGAAAAAATTAGTCGACGAAATAACACAAATCCACCATTATGCACAATTCATACATAATCTCAAATAAAAAAAATAGCAATAATAATATTTTATAATTGTGGTTCGAACAATAGTCATAAAATGTATCTAAGGTGCTCTAATACTAATTGATATATTTAACTGAATCGAGTAGATACAAATTATAATATATTATATATTAAAGAATAATCAAGAATATTGTGAACAATGTACTTTATAAGATTTTAGAGATTGCCGATATACTTTTTAGGATTATAAAGATTGTCATCGATGAGTATGAGAAGATTACTTCCCTCATTGTTATTTAAGATTTCAGAGTATGTTAATTATTTAATTGGCCAATGCTTAAATAGTTAAACGGCTGAGGGCAAAGACTTCTTATTGGACTTAATTGAACGATTCAATTCATCACATTTCATTCAGAGACAATAATCTAATTAGATAATTCATCAATAATAACAATAGACATAATTAATATTAATAATAATTTCTAATAATTGATTATCACTAATCTATAATTAATTAATTAAATAATTAATCCAACAGTTCTGTCTATTGTTGATTTTGTGTGGATTTGTCTTCATGCTTTTGCTTGTCAGGTTTTTCTAGAATAGCTTGGATAGTAAGGTGTTTATCTTTTGGAATGTTTCTTTTGCCTCATGTTGGTGAATATCCATAGCAAAAGGTTTAAAATTACGTGACATGAATAAGATCAAAGAAGAAGGGCACTCCAAAAAAAGAATTATACTCACCAGGATCAAGACCAGAAAAATAACATGTACTAAGATCAGAAAGGGATCTGGTTTCTGGTCAAGAGAAACCCACAAAGAGCATGCCAAGAGAGAAACAAAACCAAGGGAAAATCTAGAGGAAGAAAGAACACAAAATGCATGAATCAAACAAAGCCCGAAGAAACAACTATGAAACCAAAGACAAAATAACACGTTGGAAACACACAACACCCACCACCGACGATGGACTTGGAGAAACAAGCACTCACAACTGATGCAAGGTCGGAGTAGAGGACAATAGGTTGATTCAGGAATGAGAGTATTCTTGGAGTGTTCTTTCTTCAATTATTTAGCCAATCAATCATGTTTTTTTTGTCCTAATACAAATTCAACTTAGTACGTCATCATGGACAAATGCAATGGTGGATCTTCTAGTCATTGAGAGGATCTATATATGATTGGAAGAATTTGTGTTTTTTCTTTTACATGCAAGTTTTTTAGATTTTCCCCTATATGGATGAGGAAAAATTGGATATTAACCCTTAATTATAATATTTTAATTTAATTGTAATTTTAATTTCCTATTTTAATTTATTCACGAAGTTAATTTTCTATTTTAAATTCAAACAGATTTTACTCTTACTTATGAAACTGACAAATAATTATGTATGAATATTTTATGGAACTTTTATAAAAAAAATATAAGTTAAAAATTGAACGCTTCATTTTCAATGAAAAAGTGAGAAAAATTAAAATTGATTAAATTTTAAAATTTGAACTAATGTTCTATTTGGTGTGACATTTTTTGAGTTTATAGTTTAAGACTTATAGGTAATAAGTTCATATGATATTAAAATATTTGTTGATAATCATTTTTTTGTACGAATTTATAATTTATTTTATTAATTTATAATTTATTTTTCAGACGCTATTTAAAATATCCTTTTAATTTATAATTTATCATTTTTTCTTTCATTTTTACCTTTATTGTTTTAGATAAAACCCACACTACCCTTTATAAAACTATTATATATTAAATCTTTTTTATATTATTTTAATTTATCAATTAATTAAAACGCTAAATTTATCAAATATTTCAAGTAATTTATCAGTTATAGAGCTTCGGTCATCAATCATTAACTATAAGCTATCGATCATCATTTATCCGTTATAAACTATAAACTATCAACTAATTTATCAATCAACCGTTAAATATACCCTAAATTTATGTATGAGACAAAATAGGAATATTAATTAAGTAACATATTTTATATAAAAAATTATCCTTTAATGTAACATATTTTACATAATTCTCCATATCTTAAAGTCTTTGTTAATAAATAATACTTTTTTTGGACGCTTTAATAAATAGTACTTATTCCTACTATAAATAATAATATACAAAATCAACTTTGAATTGATTAAAAAAGTTACTAAAATATAATTATTTTTAAAATTTTACGTAAAATAAAATAAAATAAATTAAAATATCTTTGTTGGTATTTGATAGATCAGCTATTAATATTAAATTATTTTAAATATTTTTAGATAAATGGGATGCATCATGCATGAATCATGTGCAACTAAAAAAGGAAAAATTCTTATATGGTAACGGATATAACACATATTTGTACACACAATCAATTACAATTCATTTATTATTAAAAAATAAAAATAAAATATTCTCTCTCCTTTATTATAACAACCTCGGGATATCAATTAAAAAATCGATTAAACTTTAAATTTTTATTTAAGATTTTCTCTATTTTTATGAGTTGTTTCTATAAGAATATAGATTTATAATTATTTCTATGCAAAAATTGCTCCCAAAAAAACACAAGAGATTGAGAAAAAAAAATATTAATATTATTTTATTATGCGGTTGTCCCCACATTTAAATTGATTGAAGAATATATTAATAATATTAATATTAAAATTAAATAGTTTGAAAATTATTAATTTTAATTTTAATAGTGATCAGAATTTAGTTTTTTTTTTGTTATAATAGTAAACGAGAAAATAGTATTTAATTTATAGTTAAAAATATTTTCTATTAACTGATTTTAATAATTATATAATATGAGTGACTATAATTATAAAATCGATATTTTAGTTATATTTAACTAAAATATGTTAAACACCTCATTCTAATATCTACAATCTTTGTTAGACATTCCTAATAATTAGGGCTTGAGGGACAAGAACAATCACAACACAGATTCTGTTGGTTTTACACTCAGAATTCCTATTTTAACGTCACCACTAAATGCTGTTTCCTTTGACAATATTCAATATACAAAACATGTCTTTCGGTGAATAGCTCTAGGTCTTTTGAACTTGTTTTCAGGAGATATTCTCGTAACACTATCATCTAAGCTGTTAAGGGTTTTTGTATATATAGTCTATATTCATGTGTTTTGTTTAATGTTTATTCTGCAGCCGCACAAAGACAAAACACTCTCACTTTAAACAGGTTCTTATTTTCACTGTTTTCTCTCTTTTAGGGTTTGATTTGAACTACTTCACACACTGTATCCTGTTTTAGATTTGAAACCAAACAAAAATATAAACTTATACTAAAACGTAATCATGCCTTGTTACTATTTTTGTTGTTGGAGCAAAATTAGCATTGATTTTTATTTTGCTACGATCATAAGTATTTTAGGTAAGAAATTCATTACAGTAACACTCACAACAACACTTTTTCATATAACTAATTTTCGCAGAACTCAAATTGAAAATGGTGAGAACTAGCAAAGCAAAAAGAAAAGGTTGTAAAAGTGCTCCAGCTAATATGAGTGAGGAGTCGGAGGAGAAGTTGATTGATGGGAACAATGATGTGGATCCTCAGTTATGGCATGCTATTGCTGGAGGAATGGTTCAAATTCCACAAGTTAACTCTAAGATCTTCTACTTCCCTCAAGGTCACGCGGAGCATGCGTATGAACCAGTTAATTTTAGTGTTGACGTCAAAGTTCCATTTTTCATTCCATGTAGAGTTGCAGCTATTCATTATAGGGCTGATCCTGACACAGATGAAGTGTATGCAAAACTCAGGCTTGTTCCTTTGCATATAAGCGAGGCTGGTTTTGATGACGGCTGTGTTGGTGGCGTCGATGATATGTCTGAGACTAAGAATAAATATCAATCTTATACGAAAACCTTGACACAATCTGATGCGAACAATGGTGGTGGATTCTCTTGTCCTAGGTATTGTGCAGAAACACTTTTGCCTCCATTAGACTATTCAGGTACCCCTCCTTCTCAGTACATTTCTGCCACGGATGTTCATGGCCAGACGTGGGAATTCAAACATGTTTATAGGGGCACGCCGAAGCGGCATCTTTTAACAACCAACTGGAGTGATTTTGTAACCGACAAGCTACTTGTTTCGGGGGATTCACTTGTGTTTTTGAGGGCTGAAAACGGTGATCTTCATATTGGAATTCGAAGGTCTACAAGACGAAACGAAATTGGATTTAACCCTTCATCCAAGAGGAAACCTGGTAGTGAAATTGGAATCCGTATTGGTCCATCATACTTGGGACTTACCTCGTCTTCGGGGGAGAAAGATAATAAACTTCAAAAGAATGATAAAGAAAAAGGATTGAAAATAAGTGATAAGATTATGGGTAGGGGAAAAGTGAAGGCTGAAGATGTTATTGAAGCAGTAAGACTTGGTGTAAATATGCAACCGTTTGATGTGGTTTACTATCCTCGGGTTGGTACTCCCGAGTTTTTTGTGAAAACCTCTTCAATTAGAACAGCACTTCAGATTAGGTGGTGTTGTGGAATGAGGTTCAAGATGGCCTTTGAAACTGAAGACTCGTCAAGGATAAGTTGGTTTATGGGAACAATTACTTCAGTTCAGGCTGCTGATCCAGCATGGCCTGACTCTCTTTGGAGACTTCTGCAGGTATACACGTGTTTATATATTACATACTCCTTTATATCTAATTTCATTTTCAACTTTGTTTCAGCTTTGAATAATCTTTTGATATCATATTTTTTAGGTTACATGGGATGAACCTGAGTTACTTAAAAATACGAAAAGGGTGAATCCGTGGCAAGTGGAAATAGTATCGCACATGCCTTCAATCCCTTTTTCCTCTTTCTTGCCACCATCAAGGAAGAAACTGAGATTGTCTCAATACCCAGATTACCCTATTGGTGGCCAATTTTCAATGCCAACTTTTCCAAACTACATTCAAACTCCAAATGTTCCAATTTTTCATTTACCAAAAACTAGTCCTGCTGGTATGCAGGGAGCCAGGCATGATCCTTTTGGTGTCTCTTTATCAGACATTCACATCAATAAGTCTCCATTAGTTTTCTTTAAGCCTAATTTCCAACAACCATTTGATCCTAATGCTACAACATCAATGATGGTCCCAAGTAACACTGTATTGCAAAAGGCAAACAACAGTGTGAATGTTTTGTGCTCACCATCAGAGAATCGGGATCATGCAAAACCGGCCCAGATTGTGCTTTTTGGCAAAACCATAAGGATCGCCCCCGGAAATGAAAATGCTGTGAATAAAATCACTAATAACTTTTCTAATCTTCTACAAGCCCCGCCAAAACAATCCACTGGTGAGAGGCTCGAATGTAATCCCAAGAACCAATGCATAAAAGAAACTTTGGCAGGAGAAACATTGGAGAGTGAACATTCAGGTAGGAATTAGAATTGAACAAAAATTTAGTTTTTTTTTTGTTTTGCAATTATTGGTTCATCTCCTATAAATTGATATATGATATATGTTAATGAATTTTTTCTTACAGCAACATCATCAAAAGAGGTACGAGGTTCAAAATTTTAAAGGAATCCATTAGCTGCACGACAAAGGAGTCTACAGCAAAAAAAAAAGCATCTCTTCAATTTGAAGAGCTTGATGATCAATTTTAAATTCTTTCCCCTTATATGTAGGATCATATATGGCTTATGTTGGTGTTTTATCTTGATTTAAAAGAAAAAAAAACTGAATAAACGTGAGTGGATCCTATAGCCAAGGTTTTAAAAAACGGTCCCGATCGCGATAAGGTTTTTGCGATTTCGGTCCGTATAGGTGTCGAAACACCGATAGCGGTCGTCGCGGTGTGAATTAACCATAACCTGTTCTTTAACATATGAAACGATAATAAAGATATTGGTATTGGCATTTGTCGAACCGTTTTGTCGCAGCGTTATCGCGTTTGGAGACCCTTTTTAAAATCTTGTATACCCATAATTTCCTTTAAACATGATTGGTTTATAAAAAGTTATCCATGTATTCCTACAATTGCACATTTTATTTCAATTCTGATTTATCTTGCATTATGTGCATTCTAAGGCTGAAATTTTATATCATGTCACTAAAAAAATTGGTGCACATTACTAAAAATTGTTACACAAACACTCAAGAGTTTCCAGAAAAGAGAAAAAAGAAAGATAGAAAAAGTTTATGTTTTGGTGAAAGTCTAATAAGCAAACAAACACACAAGACCAATCAACTTCAACAATATGATATGTTACACAAACGACAACAGATTCACGCACATCATGAGCAGGGAGGTTGTAACTATGTAACCTTTGAAGAAGGAAGAAAAAAAATTGATGATACACATAGTCCAAACTTCTAAGCACTGATATAAAAGGAAATGGGGAGTTTAAGTTTTGCTCTACTCTGTTGTTAATTCTAGCATTTCTCTTTCATTACTAGTTAATAAACTAAACTAGTACAAACGATACTTAAATTTGAAATTGATGATAAGTATGAAAATAGTTTTACATTGTTAATGAATCACGACTGATAAAAGAGTTTTACATTGTTAATGAATCGCGACCGTTAAATATTTATTGAAATTTAATTTTTATTTTAATTATTTATAAATAACTGTGATACACTGATTGTGTATTTTACACCGATGATACATAGTAACTAATATATATATATATATATATATATATATATATATATATATATATATATATATATATATATATATATATATATATATATATTAATATTAGTTACTATATATCATCGGTGTAAAATACACAATCAGTGTATCACAGTTATTTATAAATAATTAAAATAAAAATTAAATTTCAATAAATATTTAACGGTCGCGATTCATTAACAATGTAAAACTCTTTTAACAGTCGTGATTCATTAACAATGTAAAACTATTTTCATACATTAATGTTAGGGCATTGTTTATTGCACCTTATACATTACTCATTTATGCTATCAAAATTTGGAAAATACTATTAGAATCTGGAAAATTGGAATTCAGACGCACCTTAAACACAATAAATCCAATCTCAGAACTATGTGAAATTCAGTTAAGTGCACTCATCTGAATCCAACATTTTTTCAACTTTTTTCTCATTATCTACTTCTTTTCATTCAACCCAATCAATTCATCAATTTCAACTTCATTTCATTTAATTAGGTACACACTTTTAGATGGCGGTAATGTATTTAGAGGAGGACGGGTGAATAAATACTTAATTAATTTTTAAAAAAAATTTGATTCGAAAAATTAGTTTTTTAAGAGTTTGAGCGGAAGAGCTTTTTAAAATAAGTCATCTTTACAAACGTTGTTGGAAACTCGGATATACAAATTGAAGAACAAAATAGAGTATAGAATAAGAATGATAATTCATATAATACGCTTGAATCACTTTAAAACTTATTTAACGTTCGTAGTAAGTTACTAGTAAAGTTATTTCCAATGGCAATATTAAAAAGTACAAGGTAAATCAATTTGTCAAACACTTGATGTGCAAGTGAATTTTCAGAATTTTTCCTTAAGTTGTATTTATACACAAAATCACTTATAATCAAAAGTGATTATAGGCTATATCAACACTTGATTTAGAATAAAAAAATAGTTTGGAAAATTTCTTACAATTCAGTTGATAACACAATGTTATTTGACAAATCGATTGATTTATATCAAAGCAAGTAAAAACAAAAATAAAAGAGACACAAAAAATTTGTCTTCAGAGTTCTCCACTTTCGTCCTCGCGTGTGGGTACGTCTGCGCCTAATTCCAATAGAATTAGGACAATTCTTACTATGCAAAAAAGTTGATACAAGAGAAGTGTGCCATACCCCAAATTTATTCTTTTAGTGATCTTTTTGTTTTTTTTTTTGTTATTTTGTCATTTAAATTTTGGGCGTCGTTATATCTTTTGGTTACTAAATTAATTTGTTTATATTATGGGTGTTTAGAAGCAATAGTGTTAAATTAGGAGAAATGAGGTGTAGTTTTTTTAGAGGGGTTTATTATTGCTAAATTAAATCCAAGAGATTTATATAAGCTTCTTAGGCCCATTAGGTTGAAGGGTTGACCGAAGTCAACATCTGACCTTGTAGTATTATTTGAAATATTATTATTGTTGTTATAATTATTGTTATTGTTATATTAGATATATTATTATTATTATTATTATTATTATTATTATTATTATTATTATTATTATTATAAAACTATTATTATTATTATTATTATTATTCATTTTTATCATCATTCATATTATTAGTTGACTAAGGTCAACGTACAAAAAGTGGAGTTATCTGTTATTTCATTTAAGGTATTTCTATTATTATTTTTTCAAATCGATGACTAAGTCAACATCAGGGTTCTCCAGCCCTAATTCCTAAAGCAGCGCCCAATCTTTCATCTTCTTCACTAAAATACCCAAGCCCGGAGTATCTAATTTTGAATCAAATCAAATATTGGACAAAAATTTTTTTTTATTAAATAAGAAACGAATTACAAATACATAATGGTTCAGATACACTGTACAGATCGAAACCCTATTTCTAATTACAAATTAAAATCTAATCAAATATTCTAATTGATAAATCAAATCTCTGAGATTGATTCAATCTAACCTAAAACTGCCAATCACTACAACTAATTTCCTAATCTGACAATTCCTGAAGCCTATAAATTAAACCCTAGACTATTGGATTAAAAATAGGAACAACCCTTAGAGATTCTGGATTGCTTCTAAATCCTTAAACCATTCACCAAAGCCCTTCTCATCGAAAACTTGGGTTTCACGACTGAAACCCTAAGTTCTTTAGAGCTCGACCCTAGTGCTCAATTCAAAGTACCTGAAACAAAAGGAAGAGAATAAGGAGATTAGAGAAGGGGAATCAGAAAATAAGAAAAGGAATTTACTACAAGAATCACTGCAGGAGAGGTAAACATATTGAACTTAGCTTTTAGGGTATTTGGATATTGAATTAGTGTATTGGTTGCATTGAATTGTTGATTTCTGTTTGAATTAGGTTTTTTCTGGATTTTGATTTAGGTTTGGGGTAAAACACCTTAGGGTCTTGTGATTTTGGTTAGGTTTAGGTAAAACATCTTAGGATTTTGTGATTTGGTTAGGGTTGGAGAATTGGGGTTAGGGTTCTTGGGGTTTGGATGAAGTTTTCCTAGGGTTAAGGTTGATCTTCATAGGGTTCATGTGAATCCATGTGAAGATATGAAGGCGTCTGAGTTTGGTTGCAGGTTGGATGAAGATCATGTAGATCTGGGTTGAGGTTACGAACCCAGACGGTGGCGTTGGTTGAAGATTTGAGTTCTCCGGTTGAAGGTCAACTGACAACTGGGTTGCATGGTGGTACAAGGGGTGGCTTATGTCAGCCCAAGGCGGCGCTGTTGGCCAAGGCGATTTCCGATCGCCGGAATTCTAAAGAGAAGGTCAAGCCTCTCTCTCTAGAAATTTATAAGGGTTTTTGTTTTGTTTTTGAAGAGAGAGAGAGAGAGAGAGAGAGAGAGAGAGAGAGAGAGAGAGAGAGAGAGAAGAGAGATAAATGAGCCAAGAGCTCAATTTTTTCCTTTTATAATGCTCGTTATGTCCTTTGATGCGCGTAAGGTGGCTCCTTAAGAGCCCCTGGATGGGGTGACCGTTGACCGGTTACATGTGCCTTTCCCTAGCATACTCCCAATCAACTTGTAAATCTCAGTCGTTTGTTATGATTACCCTCGAATCAGTGCTCCAGGGCTAGATCTTGAGGGCCTTTGGATAAATTAAACATTCCAGATCCTTTATCCTCACCATAACTACATGCTCTTCCTCATACATTATTCAAACGAACTCAAAGTTTGTTTAAGCTCCTGTATAAAAATCCTGGGCTCAAGCCCAATGTTATTCCAACCCTCTTTTTACTTCTCTAGTTACAGCATACACTCCCTGCGCCTTATTGGGTCCAAACATGGTTTTGGGCATAAGCCTTAATTATTTATACCCTTCTGATTAATATTTAGACCCTCTATGTTGATTTGATAATTAATTAATTAATTAATTTAAATAATTCATTTTATATATATAATATTGCATGTCACTTTTTTTTTTACGTATTGCATTAAAATATTTTTCTTGCATTTGTCTTAAAATCATTTTAATAAATAAATATTAGATTAACATCAAAAATATTTAATATGTTTTTAATAATAAGAAAATAGTTATTTATTGATCATTTTCTAAAATACTAAGCACATTTTTTTTCTATTTATCAAACATTTTTGTCATTCAAATTTATCTTTTTGCATCATGCATCTAAGACAGTTGAAACAACTCGGCCGAACCGTCATCCGATATTAGGAAAATATCAATCAATGAAGTCGCCACAAAACGTCTTTTATCCCGCCTAGGAGAAAAGGTAAACATCGAGAAAAT